TGCGGGTCCTCCACCGCCAGCTGAGTCGCGCACTTGCCGCCCCCTCGGTGCGCGGCAGCCTTGAACCACTCGGGCAGCTTGCGGGTGATGCCGCCGCGGAGCAGACTGACAGCCTCCCTGGAGGGGTCCAATATCCGACCGAACCTGATGGGGTTGGTTGGAAGTTGGTTGGGGGTTGGTTGACAGTTGGTTGGAGGTTGGATGGGGAGAGATAAATCATTGGATGAGTCCGGGCCTTACATTTTTGTGTGGCAGGGGGAGAAAGATGTGTTGCAAATACGGTTTTGCATAGGCATGAGTGGAGATGATAAGGGCACCAAAGATGATTGTGCCGTACTGCTGTACAGCCGTACCTGACATAAAACCCGTGCAGCAACTCTCCAAGGTCCGCGCCGGACATGTTTTGACGGCTGAGTGCCCACAGGTACGACAACTGTGCATCGGACAGACCTGCCGGAGGCGTTGCTGACGCCGCCGCAGCCGCGGCGGCGGCGGCGGAGGGCTCACCGCCCCGCATCAAGGCCATCGCCTCTGCCTCCGCAGCGGCCGCTTCCGCCATCACCGCCAGCTCGTCGTGGTCAAACTCCATGCTGCTGTACGGCGCTGCCGTACCGGCAGCAGCTTGTGGCCAGTCCGAGGGACGGCTGTTGCCACCGTCCCGTCCCCGCTTTTCGCCGGGTAGTACATCAGGCGCATCTCCGTCACCCTCAATGTATAGTTCAAGGTCATTGTCCGGTGCGTCCAACTCCCCGCCGTCACTGCCGTCGTTGGAATTCCCGTCGCTCGACCTGCCGTCGCTGCCCACCCACTCCGGCCTATCCTCCCCCTCGCCGCCAGCATAATCTTCCTCACCGTACTCATCGCCGTCGCCAGCCGCTTCCTCTGCCGACGGCTGGTCGTACCTGTTGCCGTACAGAACATCCAAGTTCCCATCCGGGCCCCGCCGCCGCCGCTTCACTGGTGGCCCCAAACCAGGATCAGTATTGACGCCGCCACCGCCGGTCCTACCACCGCCACCGCCGCCGCCGCCAACGGCAGCAGCAGCAGCGGCGGCGGCGGCGGCGGCGAAAACTGCCGACGATCCCATCTCCCTGCCCTGTACGACACGCCACACGTCGTATCCCTCGCACGCCAGGTGCGCAAGGACCATGTTGACCAGAGTGTACGACGAAATGCCGCCTGTGAAAACCTCGTTGAGACCTGCCTCTTTCAGAAAAGCCTGGCGGGGATGGGGGGGGACGCGGAAAACGGGAAGGGAAAACACAGCGCGTGGTGCGACACGTCGAGCCATGGGAAGTGGCCAAAGGAGAAGCGCCCCAAAGAAGGCTAGAAAATATGTGTAAGGGTAAAAGGGCGGGGGGAAACATAGGGTTTCATCGGAGAAAAGAGGGGATAAAAGAGAGATAAAAAGGGAATAATATGTGTGGGGTGGTAAATTAACGGGCGATACGTGTAAAAAAAAAACGGCCGCACGCGCGCACCTTGACCACGAGGCACAGCGGCCGCAGTGGCGGCATCCAGGCCACTGCTCGCTGGACTAGAGCCACCGCCGCCGCGCCGTTCGCGGCGCCGATGGAGATGTCCGCCGACAGATATCGGCCGCCGCCGCGACCCATGGGTCGCCCGCATTCGTCCAGCGGCAACAACACTGTTTTAACGATGGGCACCTGCACGCGGCAGAGCCCCCATCCAGACCTTTCCTTCAACCTGTACGATTGGGTAGTCAAGTCAGAATCCTTGCACTCTGAATATTTGCAACATAAACAACACAATATAAACACAAAATAGATCAGCAACACGAACATACATACACATACGCGTCCCTGACCCCATCGCCATCCCCCCGCCATAGCAACTATTAAGGTGCATTTAAAAAAACGACCACTATCGTTAAAGCCGCAGGCCCCTCGCTTGTATGTATAATTATGTTCGTACATGCAGGTTTGCGTAGGTACGGCATTCACGCAAACGTCTTTCTTACCCTCGGTTCAGACCATTAAAACACATGTGCATATTCCTACCTTGGCCTTGACCACTGTGTGGCGGCGGGTAAGTCCCGCATCCCGCAATCTGTGGGCCAAGGTTTCCAAATGCCGAGCCGCGGTGGCTCGTGCCAGCCCGCTGAGCCCCTCCGCTGCTCGAGCCATGTTGGGAGTCACCCCCAGTACGACAAGATCCAGATCCGAGCCGGGCAGTGCCAGACCGTTAGCCTAGGGAGTTGGGCGTTGGAAGTTTTCAGCCGGGGAGAGGGGAGGAATGGCCGGTTGAGGAGGGGCGAGGCAAGGTGGCGACCAGGCCTTGTGGCTCAGGGAGAAAAAACATATATATATATATGTCTGTATAATATGTACGTATATATGTGTATGTATATGTACATGTAGACTCCGCTATATACTCGTTTCAACTCCGAACCTGCGAGCCGAAGAGCACAACGCGGGCCGTGGGCCAAATCCCCGTTGCCACTCGCTGTACGGCAGCCAGCCCGCGGCTCAGCGCCAGCAGCTCATCCTCCCGCGGAGCGCTCTCCCGCGCAAACGCCGCCACCTCCTCATGCAACAAAGACAGCGGCCGCCGCCGCGAAATCGTACCACCGAACCGTGCATGTGGCGGCGGGGGCTTCACCGCCGCTGCCGCCGCCGACGGCCATGTCGTTCTTGCAGGCCAGGTCCACGGCCGGCCGTACAATGGTACGGCACCTGGAAGCGATGGGTCGGGTCCCGGCGGCGTCGCGTCCTCAGCTGCCCGGCTGCGCTTGTGGCTTCCGGGGCCGCCGCCGCCGCCGCCGCCACCGGGCATCGTGGCCCCGGAATATATATCGCGGCTTGATAAGGACACCGCAAGATTTTGCGCCGCTGGATTCCTTCCCTCCAGCTTCGCCTGTTGCAGCTCCCACTCGCGCTGCCGCTCTTCGCGCTTGCGTTCCTCCTCCAGCGACCTCAAGTCCTGGACCTTGTCCTGCTGCTGCTGCGGCCGCTGCAGCCCCCGCCGCCCTTCTTCCGCAGCACCTGCGGCGGCGGCGGCAGAAGCCGCTACTGCCTCTCGTTGCTGCTGCTGCTGCTGCCGCTGTTGCATCTCGGACGCGCTCGAGTCCCAAATCGTGCCTGCCGTGCGAAGCCGTTCCCTGTCGTACAATGTTTCCTGCTGAATCAGAGACCTGAGCGCCTCCCGCAGCTGTGCCTCATCAGGCAACACGCGCGCGTAGAACCTGCGAGAAAACCAGCAAATGTACGACGATACCAAAATTCCAGGATCCAGCTTTCTTGATGGCAGATCTAAGGCAGATCTTTCCTCCCGCCGAGATCCCAAACCGCGGACGTTCATACATCGGGGCGCTTAGGCTATCGTACGACGGATTGCACGGCTTGCCACAAATCGCCACGCAGAGATTCATAGCAGCAGCTCACGCACCTAACGGCACACCTGCGTCACCACCGCTACGGCTTGGCGCCACATCGCCCAATTCAACACCGCCACCCACCCATCTGGAAACCCCCCAGGACCCCGCCTGACGCTCCCCCCCAGCCACATCCAAGGCGGGCCCTCTCCCCGTGTTACGCCGGGCCAGCCCCGCCGCCCTCCCATCCATCAGCGCTGCCGGAGGGCAGCCCAGCCCCGACAGCCAGCCAGCCCCGACAGCCAGCCAGCCCCGACAGCCAGCCAGCCCCGACAGCCAGCCAGCCCCGACAGCCAGCCAGCCCCGACAGCCAGCCAGCCCCGACAGCCAGCCTGCCCCGACAGCCAGCTTGCCCGACAGCCAGCCACTCGCTCATCTGAGGCCGGGAAGTGCCCCGGCGTCTTTCATTCACCACATTTCAATCACAGCAGCAGTTTATCTCTCGTCTCCAACACACCGGTAAAACCTGTCCCGTTTGTAAACGGCCAGCAAGCGACACCTACCTGACGCCGCCCCGCCAGCGCCACACACCCAACACGCCACGTGCCGCCAGCCTGTTGCACACCCGGCTCATGGGCGGGACGAAGCGGACCATCACCGCCCGCAGCGCCTCCGAGCTGAGGTCCTTGCCCAGCTGCATTATCTCGTCAGGATGAACACCCCCCACCTTCTGCAGCTCCAAAACGCAATCGCGAAGGAGGCGAAGTAGAGACGGGGGAGGTAACGACGACGACGGCGGCGAAGCCGCCGCCGCCGCCGCCACCGCCACCGCCACCACAGTGGCGGCTGCTCCGCCGCCGCCATCAGCACAGCCGCTACCGCACGGATGCGACGTCCCAGATGCCGCCAGACGAGCCGCCTGGAAGCGCAGAGAAAGCCAGGCAGACCGTAAGCGGCTGGCTCAAAACTCAGGCAAGCCGGCAAATAAGACCGACAAAGACGCGGACAAGGAGAGGGGTAGGGTGGGGAAGACGAGCCACGAACGAGTTAAGCGGAGGGGTCGGGTGGGGACTGGGAGGGTTTGAGTTACACAGCCGTAGCGCAGATACAGACAATGCCACACAGGTGGGTGAAGGACATGGAGGATGTTGCAACACTGTCATGAATTGGGGGAATAAGAGAAAGGGTGATGTCCATATCTGGAACATGCCCAGCTCGCCCGTACACAGCCTTGCACAAACACCTTTCCCCTTTCTCGTGCACGCACACAACACACACACCCCTACGTACGTTGTCCCCCACCTGCTCTTCGCTGCCTCCCGCCTCCGTCTCTGCCTCCATGTCCTCTCCCTCCCTGTCCCTCAGCGCCGCCGCCGCCGTACTGTCCGGGTCCAGCACCGGGTCCGCCACGTACCGCAGGGCCATGTGGGGACTGGACCGCGGGGCGCAGCGAATGACACCCAGTCGCAGACCAGCCAAAAGTAAAGCGTTGCCACCCTGGGGCATCGGTTTACGGGGATGAAGGGAAGGTGAGGGGACAGCATAGAAAGGCCAAAGGTAAAGAGACACAAGCTGAGGGTAATACTGGGGGCGAAAGTATAAGACTGAGCCCAGCCTCCATGCTGCTAGTCTTACCACTCAAATCTTACACACACATTGTTTCGGAGCCCCAGAGCAACCACTCCACTGCCCTAACTGCCCCCCCGTCCTCTCCGGCCACTCGTATACTGCACATAAAATGGTCTCAGGAACGAAACCCCAGCAGTTATGCCGTACGCTGCCGTACGGACTCGAGAATGCCGTGGCATGCCCTTGTTCTCACCCATTCCGCCGCCGCACTGTTACCACCATGCTTCGCCCGCAGACCGTGCAGCAGCGTGACAAGCTCCGAGTAACTCGCCGACCCACGGGTCGCAAAGCTCGCCGCCAACACGCAACTCGCCACCAGCATATCCACAGGCGGGTCCGCGGAACCCGATTTCAGGCGCTTCAGAAACGGAGGATGTAATCCTGCCTTCTTCGCCTTCCCCGCCTTTTCAACACCGCGGGCTTGATCAGCAATCAGGCGCAAGATCGCGACCTGACGTTCCGGGGTGGGGGTCGCTGACTCCTTGCGATTGCGGGGGGCCTTGCCGCCCGCCGCAGTAATCACCGCCGCTGACGCTGTTGCAATAGCGGCGGTCTGCGCTGCAAACTCCTCCGCGGCGCCCGTTTCGGCGGAGACCGCCCAGAACGGTCGCTGCTGGCGCGGTGGTAAGCCGGTGCGAGCGGCATCGTCGCCCTCGGGGGCGGCGGCCGCCGCGGCCGCCGCCTTTATTGCGCGCATATCTGCCATCCTTTGCTGCCGCTGTTGTTCCTGCTGCTGCTGCTGCTGTTGTTGTTGTTGTTGTTGTTGCTGCTGCTGCTGCTGCTGCTGTTGTTGCTGAAGCTGTTGTTGTTGCTGCAGTTGTTGCTGCTGCTGTTGCTGCTGTTGTTGCTGTTGTTGCTGCTGTTGTTGTTGCTGCTGTTGTTGTTGCTGCTGTTGTTGTTGTTGCTGCTGGTCTTGTTCCTGTTTAGGCTGTTGCAACAGCTGCTGCTGCAGTTCGTACTCGCCCCCCGCGCAATCCCCTCCTTCGCACCTGTACTTCTCGTTGATGGGCTGCACCCCGTCATCGCTGCGAGGATTCCAAACCGTACCTACCGTACGCAGTGCGTCCTCATTGTACGACAGCTCCCTGTTCATTAAAGACCTGATCGCCTCTGCCAGCTGCAAGCTATCGGGAAGAGAGCGGACGTAGAACCTGTTGATGAAGAGAGCGGATGGGGAGCAGCAGGGCCCGGTAATAATACCGGATGTAAGAAGTGAAGGGCCAACTACTGAAACGCCCAAAGCCAGGAAGGGAAGCGGTGTGTGTAGGTGGTGGATGACCGGGATGGGGGGCCAGGGTAGGGCACGCGCGAGGACAACACACACGGGCTCCCATCTCGCGAGGACTGATCTCGACCATAAAGATACCGCTGCTACTGCCGCCGCCGCTACTGCCGCCGCTTCTGCGGCACGCGCGCCGGCACCGTTACAGCAGCAACCCACCTCCAACCCACCTCGGATGCCTATCGGACAGCCAGCCAACCACACCTACCTGTCGCCGTCCCACCAGCGCCACACACCCAACACGCCACGTGCCGCCAGCCTGTTGCACACCCGGCTTATGGGGGCATCTGGTCGCAGCAACACCGCCCGCAGCGCAGCCGGCGCCAAGTCCCTTATAAGAGGAACCATATAGCCATGGCGAACCCCCCGCGCCTGCTGCAGCTCCAACACACAATCGCGGAGGAGGCGAAGTAGAGACGGGGGAGGTAACGAAGGTGACGGCATTGGCGCCGTTGCCGCCGCTGCGCCGCCGCTGCTGCTGCGTCCACCTGCTGCTTCCTTGTCGTCATCAGGGGCTATGGATGCAGCGAGTGCCTGCGCGCCTGAGCCCTCCAGGACCCCGCTGGCATAGCGCTGTTGGTGTGCCGTATCGGCTTGGGACACGGGGCCGGTCTTCGGGCAGGTGTGAAAAATAGGGCGACAGAGGTATATATAAGCAGGAGAAATCAAAAATCTCTCAGTGAGCGCTAAGAGGCGAGGGGACCAGAGGACGACGGGGCGAGGGGGCACGAGGGGGCTTACCGCACGATGATTGTCAGCCGCGCATGCCGGCAACACCGTTCCCCCATCATGTGCATCTGAGAATCATTCCTCCCCACATGCGCAATCTGCTGCCATTGCCTTCCTCAGCTAAAGCCCAAATGCCAAAATATGCGACACCTGCAGTTTGTTGCTATGGACTGCAGTTGGGTCAACAAGCCCCCATCTACTACTAACCGTTTGGTTATAAGGAAAAATAATCAGGCATTAGGACAGACATACAGACATAACTATCTTGGGGCGGCTAGTCCGCGCTGCGTAGGTGCGAAATCGAGTATTTGGGGGACTTCGGCCGCACCTCCCCCCCCAACATCCTTTCCCACTTTGCCGTTGACGCCTGTAGCCGTTGTTCCTTTAGGTGCTTCTGCATGTACTCCTCCTTTCTCGTGCACGCACACGTATACGTACCTGCTCTTCGCTGCCTCCCGCCTCCGGCTCTGCCTCCATGTCCTCGCCCTGGCCCCGCTCCTCGCCCTGGCCCCGCTCCCTCAGCGCCGCCGCCGCCGTACTGTCCGGGTCCAGCACCGGGTCCGCCACGTACCGCAGGGCCATGTGGGGACTGGACCGCGGGGCGCAGCGAATGACACCTAGCCGCAGACCAGCCAAAAGTAAAGCGTCGTAATCCTGTAAAGCATGGCCGCGGACATGATCAAAAGATGCGGGGCGGCGCGGGGCCGAAGGGAAATGAACCTGACAGCTTTTTTTTCGAAGATAATGAAAAACGCAATTCTTGGATGATCCAGCTGACTGTCCCAGCAGCAGTGCGTCTCGTCTCCAAAGGGCTGAGGGAGGGCAGGAACCCGCTGCATGCATCCCCTTCAGAACCGGCATGAAATGTGTTCATGCCGGGTGTGGGCGGGTCGCACACACACCTCGGGTTGCATTACCCAGAGAGCCCATATAACGAGCGCCCATACACATGCAACACCAAGGGACACGGGGCGGACAAGCCAGGTGCCAGGCCAGTGCTTATGTGCAGCCCCGTGAATGAGTCGCAACGGCTAGCTAACCACCTTTCCTTACTACTCTTACAACCTAGATTGGGAGCTTCTGGGACCTCCAAGGGTTGCAGTTGGTGCGTATTGGATGTCAAGTCGGCAGATGAAACTGAGCTTCTTTATTACACATGGTAAAGAATGCAATTTCCTCCCTGCCCACCCTCCCACCCGCCCACCCTCCCCTGCCCACCCTCCCACCCTCCAGCGCCCAGCGATGGAAATTCTTGTTGAGAGCCGCTCCCTGGTGAGGGCACACTTGCCCGCTATGGCAACGCGGTAGACAGGGTGGTGACCATCGCCGTCACTTACCACCAAGTGCGCTTCGTGGTCCTTCCAACGGCTGCGAATATAGTTGCGCAGGTCCTTATAACCCACCGACCCACGGTTCGCAAAGCTTGCCGCCAACACGCAACTCGCCACCAGCATATCCACACGCGGGTCCGAGGGAATCCGTTTCAGCTGCTGCACCAGTGCCTTAGCATGCCGGTTGGACTTCTCCGTCTTGTGCGCGCCAGGCGCTTGCGCGGCAATCAGGCGCAAAACGGCGACTAGCTGATCCGGTTCTAGGTCGACCCCGCCGCTGCCGCCGCCGCCGCCGCTGCCGCCGCCATCGTGTCGCTTGCTCGAACACTCTCCGCCTCCTGCCGCAGAAAGCGCCTTGGTTTGCTTCGCAATGGCGGCGGCCTCCGCCGCAAAAGCCTCTGCTGCGCTCGTCTCCGCGTCCGCTGCCCATAGGGGCCGCAGCTGGCCCGGCGCCAGACCCGTGTCCGCGACTCCCTCCGTAGTTTCGGATGCGTCAGGCAGCGACGCCGCAGCTGCTGCCGCCGTCGCCGCCGCCATAATCGCCACTTTTTGCGCCTCCTTAGGACCCACCTTCCCTGCCTGCACCTGCTGGTCCACCCCACGCCAGATCTGTGCAATCGCACGAGCCTCAGCCAGGTGGGCGTGCTGAGGCGGCACAGGCGGCGGCGCCATTCCCGCCCCAGTTGCGTTGCTAGCAGGCACATGCAGCGCGACGAGGCGGCGGGAGATCCCCGCGGCGTGTAGTCGTACGTCCAGACTCGGGCCCTGCGAGACGGCCCAAGGCGTGCAAAAGCAAGTGCACAGCGCGTCATGGCGCATCATTGTGGACGGCAAAACCACGAGCCATCAGCAAAAGCGCAGCAGCCGCCACTTGACTGGTCACTTCTGCACCTGAGCTTCTGGGCACGAGCCTTCCACCCGCATCCCTTGCTGCCCCCCCCCGTTCTGCCGTACCTCCGGTAACGCCAATAGCTCCGAAACCAGCGTCAACCATACGCCAAGGCCCTTGTCGATCGCACCCTCCCAAGTGGGCAGCGCCAACATGTTGGACTCCTCCCCTGGAGCGAAAAGGAAAGGACATGACGGGCTGTCAGGGCAACACACGCTACATGTGTGTTTTCCCCACAGTGGGCCCCCCCCCCTTCTGCTCTGCCCTTCCAACCAATTCCGAACCCGCCTGGCCTTTGCCGCGGCAGCGGCGCCAACCCTCTCGCCCTGTCCAGCCCCTCGACATG